CCCCAAGCGCTCGGTGGGGGGGGCGATGGACGGGTTGAGCGGGATCGCCGAGGCCGCGCCCTCGCGGTCGTTGCCGCCGTCCGCGAAGGGGGCGGAAAGACCCGAGGACGACGTCAAAAGGTAAAGCAGGAGGCTCAACTTGTACGGGTAGTCGAAGAGCCGCAGGGGCTTCGACGGGGGGGGGGAGCGGTAGGCGGCGAGGTCGTCCCGACGCCCCCGACGACCCGATGGGCTCGTCAGGCTGCGATCGGCCTCGACGGCGTCGTAGAAAATCAAATGATGCCGCTCAAAGGCGAAGCGGAGGACGGTGGAGGCCTCGAAATGGCCCTGGCAGGGCTCGCTCGCGGCGTTGGCGAGGTCCGCCGACCGCGCGCCCTCCCGCCCTCCCGGCCTTTTCCTCTCGGGCTCGTCGGCCTCCGCGAGGTTGAGGCGGTGGGCCTGCATGTCGTCGACGACCTCCGGCGTGGTCAGGAGGGTCGCCGCTGGGTACAGGCGGCGAAAAGACGGCGCGCCCGGGGCGGTTGAGCTGATGGCTTCAAAAATCACCCCCAAACTCACCCCGTTGATGAATAACGACAGCGCATCCGCCACGACGTCGTACAAAAAGCCAAAATTAAGGCCATGCGAGCCGTATAAAAGCATCTCATCCTCGACTAAAACACCGTAGCCGTTTTGCCGCCCATGCGGGTGTGGCGTTGACGTGAAGACGCCCGCCCTCTCGGCTTCGTGAGGGCCGTTTTCACAGGTCGGATTCGCACAAACGGCCTTCTCGTGGGGTTTGTGAAGCTCGGATTGGGTGATGATCTCAACTTTGGGGTAGATCGTGTACGAACGACGCCCACAGGCGCTCTTGGCTTGACAGATATCGCGACAACGGATACGAAGATACACCATCTCCGAAGGCTTTGTGGGATCCAAGGCGCGCCGCACCAGCGGCGTCGTTTTGTCATCGTGATGCTTCCAGACACCCCAAACAACTTCCTCCTCCACAATAAACGACGTCTCGTTGACGGTTTCACGCTCGCGAGGGGTTTGATATAAAAACTGCAAAGACACGCCAAACCCGTCCTTGGTCGAGCCCAATCCATTCACCGGGATCTTCTCCTCAGTAGCGATATACACCCGGTTGGCCTCGGGCTTTTCATGCGGCGAGGACGCGCCGCTTTGATCGGCGCTCCGCGCGTTGGGGTGCCTCGCGCCCTTGACAAAAGGTGCCATCCCCTCCGTACACCACCCCACCTCCACCTTCGCCCTTGCCGACGCGCCCCCCCCTTTTGGGGGTCGCAGGAAATCCATCGAAACCTTCGCCTCGTAGTAGAAACAATCGTCGGGGCCTTTTAGGGCGCCCTCCCCCCCTCCTGTGGGGCGCGCCGCGAAGGCGTCCCCCCGCACGAGAATCGGCCGCGGCGTCGGCCGCAGGGGGACGAACCCCCAGAGCCCCACCCGGCGGAGGTACAACGTCGAATACGACGGCGTCGCCATCGCCTCGAGCGACCCCACCTCCCACGCGTCGAGCAGCCCGCGGCGGAGGAGTTCGTTGAAGGCGATGGGGTCGGCGGCCCCCCTCCACCCGTCCGGGCGTCCCGTTTCCCTCGCCGGGCCCCGCTCGAGCCGGTCGTCGATCTTCCGGGAAAGGCTCTGCAGGAGGGCCTCGTGGGTGGGGGGGTCGGGGCCGCCCGCCGCCCACGTTCGCTCCTTTTCCAACCCCAGCCGCCGGATTTGCAAAAAAAGCCGCAGTTTCTGCACCGACCCGTCCAAAAACGTGGAAAAGGGCGAGGCCGCGCGGTGCAGGGCGCCCGGCCGATGCAGCCACTGGTAGCCGCCGTAGTAATAGGCCAGCGGGTCGTCCTTGGGCCCGTCCACCTTCGACGGCAAGGCCGAATTCTCCGTCTCGAAGGAAGGCGCCCGCTTCGAATTCAAAGCGCCGGGCTCCGGCTTGTCCTCAGTCGGCCCATCCTTCGGATCGGCGCCGCCGATCTCGAGGTTTGGGTGCTGCAAAAGCACCAAAGAGGCCTGCTTGAGCAGCCGCTCATTCGCCTCGTCCTCGGGGGAAACATGCGGGTCGACGGCGTCGTCGGCGGGCCGGCCCGATACGCGGCGCGCCTCCACGGACTCCTGGTACTCGGACAACATCGTCTTCACGAGGTCGAGATGGGCGTCGAGGAAGGCCGCGCAGTCCGCGTCGTGGGTGTTCATGTTCAAAAACAACAGCACATGCAGGGCTTGGTCGTGAAAAAACTCACAGCCGAGCATGCACTCGATTAAATCGATCTGCCCGGTCAGCAAGGCCGCGTAGAAAAATAAGGCCTTCGTCAGCGCTAAACAACGCGCATCCAAAAACGACACGACGGAGGAAAGCGCGAGCTTGGCGAAGTCGTCCACGCGGCCTTGCTGAATCGCACAGAGCACCACGTGCGAGAGATCCGGTAGCGCGGCCAAATCCGCCGGCGGCAGCGGCGAAAAGGTGGGGAAAACGGCATTATCCCCACTGCCATCATTCGAATAATCGAGAAACCGTTCGGAGGCCGGTGTTTTTAACCGCGGCGGATCGTTTTTTCCATTTTCCCCGGCCCCGCTTTTCGGGGGGAGGTCTTCCCCCCGCTGTTGAAGCGTCTCGCGGGCGTAAATCAGCCGGCATGTCGTCGTCACGACGGAATCAAACGGCACCATCGTCAGGAGCTGTCGTAGGGCGAAGGAATCGACGACTTCGTTAACATACCACTCGACAAACGATTCCGTACTTCCTTCCCGGCTGAATTGAAAAGACGCCGGCGTCCCGGGCTGGGGCTGCGGCGAGAGGCTCCCTAACATCCTCGATGGGATGCTTTGATTTAAGGGTTTGTCGGAAATTTCGCTACGATTGCTGGGGATGGGAAGATCCGTCGTGGGCGGGTGGCCCGCCGCGTTCGGCAGGATCACACGCCGGCGGGAATGAGGGGTCCAGGTGGAGCTGGAATCCTTCAGCGCCAACACGCGCGCGGAGAAGGAAAAGATCAGCTCATTCCGAAGCCGCGAGATTACCTCGTTGGCGCGCAAAGGAAGGACAAGGCGATTCTGCAGCTCCTTCGCATTGCGCTCATGGGCCTCGATAAATTGCTCCAGTTGGCGAACCGTGAGCGGCGGCTTCGGGCGAGAACTCTTGGCACCGCCAAACGACGGGCTATTAATCGTAGAAGAAGTGGGATCCTTTCCATAAGTCGAAAAGGGATCGGATTCGCCAACATTCATAGCAAATCGATCGAGGTCTTTGAGCGGCGGGTAGGGGACGTCCACAAAGGAATATTCGGAAGATGTTTTTCCCTGTGAAAGGGGGCTTGGTGAGGAAGCTAGTTTGCTATACGTCGTGTCTAATGAATTTCCCGCAAAACAAACGATATCCTTATCCTCCATTCCGGCTTTATAAGATCTATCGAGAGTATAGGCATCTCTGGTGGGAGAGGGTGACACCACCGTGGGAATATCCATCATACTAACCTCCTTTGTAGCTTCTAATTTGTTGATGACATAATAAAGCTTTTCCAAACGATTCTGTATGGTGCTTTTCTCGGAGTCGTACTTTTCTTTCACTACTGCGCGCCTGCTTTCACGAAGGTGGTAATGAAACTCGGAGTCCTTGCGAAGAGGGTCGTTTCCCTGGCTAATATTCTCCTCTAACGCCTCGTAGTAGACGTCTAATATCTGCGTATGTCCTAGGAGCTTGTATTGATGCTGCTCAAGCACCATAATCGCCTGTTGAAGCTCCTCGAGCGTCGCCCGCAGGCCTTCCTCCTTTTTCCAATACGACGAAACCCCTTCATTGTCCTCCTCGTCATCGCTTCCCCGGACTTTTCCATCCGCCTGTCCGGATAAGGGTGGGATGCTCACCACGACGTCGATCAACCACCGGTTAAACTGCTCCTCCGGGCATGCGGAGAGCTCGGAAAGATCGCCCAAGGACCGCGCGGGTGGGCTGTCCGGATAGGATTTGGAGGGCCCGGAAAGGGCCTGGGTATTCGCCCGCTCCCCGGCCGTGGGTTTTGGCGGCTCCTGAAAGCGCACGGAGGGCGGGGGGCGGCTGACCCCCTCCTCGTTAAAAGCCCGCCTCCCCGCTGGGGGATCCCCCACCAACGTCCGACGCATGGCGCCCCGCAAGGGCGGCGGCGGCTTCGACATGAATTGCCGATGTACTTCCCTTCGGCCTCACGATTATTGACCTTACGCGGATTGAGATACCCCTTATTGTGTGTGGGAGAGGGGGGGTTGTAATGGGGTGTTCCCCATACACCCCAAAAGGGAAGAAAATAAAGCAAATAAAAGAGTAGCGTAGATGAAGCCAAGGGTTGGCTAACGGCATTTTTTATTTTTAGGGATTACCACCGTTGGGATGGGATGAACTTTCGGTGATCGCTTTGGATATGGGTGCGATAGGTTACAGCTCAAAACAATCAAACCGACAACATGGATCTACGGAGACATCATGGGAAATTAGAATAAAAAGGCGTTAGGAAGCCCTCTCTCCCTCACCAATATATCTTACTCATTGTGTTTATATTTTTAAAATAGGTACTGCAGAAAATTTTAACACATCACCATTTTAAAAACAATTTTCTAAATCTTTTCCCTCATCTTTAGTAGCAAAAATGTGTGGAGAGAGGATTTTCAGTTGGTAAATGCCTTTTTATTTACTCACTCTTAGATCAATCATTTAAAACCTTGAGCAACCAACTGAGATGAAAAAGATCTTGCCTTTTATAATGGCTAACAAACATATCACATAGGTTGAAAGGGGGAAAAGGAAACTAATAATATAATTGAAACCTTCCAATATGTACATACCACTGAGACTACATAAGTCGACGGGCGTAAAATTTGAAACCAGTGCATCGCCAATACGCCCAAACACTCGAGATAATATTTCGCACTAGTGGTATGAATGCATAGCTATATATCCAATGGAGTTTTCAAACCCCTTTTTTTTTGAAGCTGATGTTGGATTTTAATACCCTTCACTTTTTTTTCAAGCTTTAATCTTGCCGCTTGCTTGCTCATCCCTTTTCTTTCCCTCTTTTTGTCCCCTTGGATTTAGTTGTGAATCTGTTCTACCATCTTAGAAACGTACGAGGAAACTCCCACCACCTGCGTTCGCCACCTTGCAATATGTTCGGCGAGCTGCTTTAACTCCTGCAGCCTTAACACTCGTGGCTCAACACAGGTAATACGAACTTCGCCTTTTAACCCATCAATTTTGCCGTGAACAATGCCATGTGCGAGCGCCGTCAACAGGAGTGGCTCCACCTCCCCTTCCCCAACAATACAGCGATTGGCGATTGTTTTAAAGGAAAACGTCCGCTCGTTAAAAGGGGTGTAAAAGGCCAAGTGCAAAAGTGCGGTGAGGCGAACCTTTTGCCGAAGAGCCGTGGGAACCGCCTCGGCGAGATCGGGGATGTTATGGATTTCGTTTAGATGGAGGTCGATAAACTGCTGGAAACCCTCGACATTCCCCTCATTGCAAAGACGTAGCCATTCTAAAACCCACCGATGCTTCGCCGAGCTTTCTAATGAAGTTACCAACAAACTGTTGTTGAGAAATTTGCCGAAATTAAAGATTTCGTCTGACAAAAGCGCAGCCACAGCAGTTTTGAAGGCAAGCTCATCCATCTCATCAGGTAGCAGCGGCATTTCCGCCTTTTCTGAGTAGGTTACAATATCAAATGTGTTTTTATAGTACTGGGTATATTCCTTTCGTAGCTCATAATCTTTTCCACGAGCCTTACAATAAAGCATCAGAAGAAGCGGCTCCAACTCGTGCATCTGCAAGCTCCCAATGTAGGTATTAAGCTCTTCCAGAAGCTTACGCGCGATGTAGAAATTACTTCCAGGATCCGTCACCAACGCTGGGCTCTCTTCGTTCTGATTGAAAGAAGTGAGGCTGTTGCCGTTGCTGCTACTACTGGAAAGCAGAAGCATCGCGCGGATGCACTCCACGGCATGCTTTTCCTGCACCGCACCACCCCCTAAAAGACACGCAGATGCCCCTTCTACAACATCCAATCCCTTTTCCAAGCTTCCATTCGGAGAAAAAACGACGGAGTAGATGAGTTTTACATAAACTATGGGGGAAATATCCGCGCGGATATTACGCAGCACATTATCGTGAAGATCGTAGGCGCGTGCGAGCACCGCGGAGTCCCGCATCACCTCCAAAAGCGCCTTCGACATCTCATACCAATGCCGACGATAGTACTCGTTAAGGGAAATTTGAACCACCTCAGCGGTTTTAGAAAACCCGGCCTCCCGCAGCTCATTTTTCAGGGTGTTTAAATATTCCTGCGTTTTTTGCTCCATTATTTTTATCTATATTATATATTCCTTTTTTACTTCTCTTCACTCCCTTTGTATAATTTTTGCTTCTGAATGGATTTCTTGAATGTAGGGTTATTAATTTGATTGAAATGCGTTCATCCGCAATATATGCATATATATAAAGAAGAGGGGATATATAGAAAATGAATCGATCGCAAAGCGTCTCTTAAAGGTACTAGAACCACTCTTCTTTTAGAGGAAAGCTGATGTAGAATGTGTGTTCATACAATAGAATATCTATATATCTATCTATATATATATATATATTAACAATCATCGGAAATAGTAACTCCATATATTTTTTCCGATAGGTAAATTGCCTAAAAAAAGATTAATGGTAATTATTAATGCTTCCTTATAATTTACGTTACCCCACCCTTATTCACGTGATACACTTATGTTGTTGTTACAAATAAAAGGGTGAAGAACAAACAGTCGTGGTGAAATGCTGTAACAGTGGTTCACGCCTCATTCTGTTTCATTTTGATCGATGAAAAAATGTAACATAAAAGATGAAACGAAAGCTATTTAAAAGTTAAAATATGACAATGTATAAATTCAAAAGGGAGAAAAATATCAAAAAAGCGTCAACATGACGCCTCTCTCCTTTACAGTTTTGATCTTGACACATGTTGGTCATACTCCATCAAATATACCATTTTGTATTTGTATCAGTAGAACACTTTATGGGGTGGTGTGTAATTGTTAAAGTTGTGTGTAACATCGTCCATTGTAAATACTTACTCATTTGGAATATATCTCCTTCATAAAAAAAAAAACATCGCTTTCGCCGTCTAAAGTTACAATGGGGAAAAAGCTCATTCGGCACCAAGCTCACCAGAATGGTGGAAAAAAAACTGAAATCATAATAAAATAAACATCTCCATCAGCAAAGGAGAAACTGTGTTATCATTGAAACTCTATATAAACAACGATGACTCGAAAAAAATGGAAGAGTATGAAAGAATGGTGAGGAAAAATGCATGCCTACACCTTCCTTGCCAATTAGATGCATCGCTTCGCGAGTTGCTTTTGGATCGCTTCAATAAAAATCCACATTAATATTACCTGTGGTACGCAACGCACCGCCTCCATGAAGAATCCAGCATACAATCCTTGAATCCCCTCCTTCGTGTATACTCTTCGAAGACAATGTCCTATACTCGTGTAGAAAACCTTATCATTGCTCTGCCCTGACATCCCAATTCGCCGTTTCGCAACATCCAAAGGAAAAGTTACCATGATTGAAGCCAACGCTGCGAGGGAGCCCCCTACGATTGTGGAAAGTAGATTCCGCGTGGAATGATCCATTTTTGAAAAGACCGGATTCGGACTATCCAGTAGTGCATATTTCACTGTCTCGTAAGTGGCGAAACAAATCAAAATATCAGGCACACGCTGAATCGAGGATGCTGCGAACCCGCGGTAGAAGTTCCGTAACGAGTTCGTTTCACGGTAAATAAGCCGACAGGTAGTCCAAATTCCTCTGAACTGCTTTTCGCCTGACATCAACCGCAGACGAACGACCTCGCCTGGGTAGACTACCGCGCTCGCGAAGATTGCCGAGAGGCCGCCCGCGCAGCACTTGATCACAAACCGCTCCACCACATCCATCCGCTGGATGCGTTCGCAGGCCTCCCCGTTCTTTCCCTGCTCACCCGTCGCGCGAGGACGCGTTTCGTACCCTGTGAGCGCGTCCTGCGCCAGAAACTTAAGCCTGCTGTAGAGGGCGAGTTGGAGGCCGCTGGATGGGACCCGCATGATCATCGAGGTCAGGTTTCCCCGCCAGAAGCCTGTGATCCCCTCGCGCGCGAGGATGTGGCGCGCGAGCTGCCAGACCCCGTAAGGCCGGTGCTGCCCGAGCTGCTGCAGGACGACAATGCGCTGGATGGGGCTGAGGATGGACTTGGCGAGGCTGCCCCCGCAGCCCCCGGCGACCATGTCTATCCACACGGCATACTGCGTCTCACTACTAGTGGAGGGGCTCATGGGTCGCAACCCGTGCGACTTGTTGGGGGTTTTATTCGCTTTTTCTTCTCCCCCTTTCTCCCCTCCCTTTTACCTCCTCTCCTGACCCTCCCCTTATAGGAAGACACCTATAAAGCTATTGGTGTATATGATGTGAGTGATAATAGGCCTGGCAGATGTGGGTAACACTATATGATCAAAATGCAAACAACTACTTGTAGGATTTTGTGTCGGCATGTGTAGCGATTGCCTTGGGTGGGATTAATTAGCTTTGTTAACCCCCTTAGACTCAATCACTATTACCGGTCCCTTAGGAATGAAAGGCAAAACACTTTTTTTTGGGGGGTGAAATAAAAAATATATAATTCCATTCCATAGTTAACATTTTGTTGGCATCATTTTCTCAGATTTAAACAAATAAAGTAAGTAATATACTACTGCCCGCTCTTCTAATTGCATATAATAACACATGATTTTAGGATTTAAATATGTTGTTTTGTCTCCTTCAGTTAATGTCTAAAAAATGAATCACAATATGAAAAAGTGAGCTCAATATATTGGTGTAGTCGAGAAGAAATATCATCATACTCATCCAAAAAATCGAAATGTGCAAAATATGTAATATAATAGGATAGATATTTTTTTCTTATACTCGATTGCTCTAAAAGATAGAAGTAATGTTTTTTCATAATGCGAGTCACCACTTCCATTGTTAAAGCAAAGAAAGAAAAAGATAAAAAAAAACTACTAGAAAAGAGTGAAGGAGAACAAAACAATAGTAATATTTAAAAAAAGAAAAAGAAAGGATCTAGAATTTTCTGATCCCTCCATCAGGGCAAAGCGCGCAGTGCTGTTGAAATAACGAAAAATCTGCGTTTAAGAATACATATAAGCACATGTAATAAAATTTGTAAGTAGAAAACAAAATTTCCGAGATGATGGATAGTAAATAAAGGGGTTTGGTCCATGAGATTTACTCCGGAACATGAAATATATATATATATCTAAGACAAAGATTCAAAAAAGACTCACACTAAATCGTGGTAAGTTATATCTTTCTTGAAATGTGCTCATTTGAATAAACTCAATCAATTAGAATGGAGATAAAAATAAAAACAGCAACCAGATGACTAAACCTTTTGGGCACAAAAAGGAAGCAAAGGAAATAGGAAAAATAAAGATCAATAGCCTCCACCTCTTCATTCAGGATTAACGCAGCCAGGACGGGGTTAATCGCTTTGAACCTTCCTTAACAGTCTCGATGCCCACTTTATTCTCCACATCATCATTCGTTTTCGCTTATTTTTTATTAATACGTTTACCCTGAAGGAGGTCAGTTTTGTGAACTATGTTTAAGTCCACGCTCGTGTAACTTTTCCACTATTAGTACTTTTTTCTATTTTTTTTGCAGAGGTATAGATCCATTTGCTTTACTAACCTTCTGCGGTTGTGGTTGCTGCCGCCGAGGCGATGGCGAAACATCACACTTTGCCGACTCTATTCTCATTGACAAACTTAGATCTCCTTGGGTAAGATCTTGATCATTTTTTTCCCTTTTTGCGATAAAAGACTTCGCGGGCGGGTGATGCGATGGTGATTTTTTCCCCTCATTCCTCCCCACGGTGCCGCTGCGAGGCGTCGTTGTCGGGTCGGTACTCGAGGGCGAGTTTCCCCCCTCGGCCTTCCGCTCCGGTCGAATGACGAGGGGGGTGGACTCCAGGTCCATCATCCCCTTCTGCGCGCTCGCGTTGCTGGAGGTGCTCAGCACCCAGTTGGCCTTGACCGGGGTCGAGTTCGACGTCGCCCCGGCCGACCCCATCGGCGAGGGCTTCCGCTGCGGGGAAGAGGGCTGGGACGGGGACTGCGAGGGGGACCGCGAGGGCGACGGCGACGGCGACGGCGACGGCGAGAGCTGAGGGGACTGCGAGCGGGACTTGG